ATGTCTTCTGCTACATTTCTTTGGTGAAAATAGCCCAAATCAGTGTTTATTATTTACTTTGTAGGAAAGTTATATAGTTTACAAATTATGGTATAGATATCTGAAAATTTATCAGTCATGATGTACTGACGGCCTATCTCATTTCTTGAGGGCCAAAAATATCAGGACAGTACAAATATCCTCCAAATTACCCCTTTTTAGAAAGTAGACAGTCAAAGGTGTTTAGTGAGAGGCATGGCACATTTTTAAAGTTGTATTTTTTTGTTATAATCTTTTGGAAAATGAAGAAATAAAAAAAAACATTTTTCACAATTTTTTTTTTTTTACATACTATTACCAGTGCAGTACAGCACAATCATACAAGTGGTGTGGTGGTGATCAGGGACTGGTGACAGTATGAAAACATTTTTTTTTTTTTTTACATTTTCTTTTTCTTTTTTTAACAATTTTTTATAAAACAAACTGTTACCAGAGCAATACATAGAATATCATAAAAACATTGTACTACTCTGAGGAAGTGATTAGGATCTTGTTTTCACATCATGATTGCTTAAAGCAGTGAATGTCATTGCTTTAAGGAAGCATTTTACTGAATGAAATTGATTCATTCAGTAAATATTGTTTTGATTAGCTGTGATTGGCCACAGCTAATCACATGGTACAAATGGACTGTGACTGGCTCTTTCTGTACCATGTGATCACTGTGACCACTCACAGGTAGCAACACAATTGCACACGTTAAATGGCATGAAAGGAAGCCATTCATTGTTTACAATCATCATGTGATCTGCTGTGATTGGTCACAGCGATCATATGGTACTGGCAATGAGCCAGTTCAGTGATCTGTCATTGGCTGTGTCCGTTGGACGCAGCTGGTGACAGATCATGCCTACAATGCGGCCGCACACATGGTGCGTTTCAAGAGGATGTCATATAACGACCACCCGGAGTGAGGAAAGTCCTGCTGCTTTCACTGACAGATAGAAATTGGAGAGTAGTCACTGTTCTTGCTGATCCAAAACTGTCCTGTCCTGCTGCTAGACATTTTCTATCAAGCTCCCATTAAGAATTAAGAGACCACATATGATAAAGCAGCATAAAATTTGGCAGCAGTAGGGATAATTAGCCAACATGTACTAAAGGCAAAGCACAAGCAGATGTTTTACTACAAGAATTAGGATACTGCAGAGGATACAGCTGGACAGTTTTAATCAGGGATAATAGACCATAATGTTACATGCCTAACTTTTATTTTATCTGTGAGCATATAAGGCTTTGATAAACAGAAGTGGTATAAAGTGAGGTGGTTTAGAAGTACATCTCTCTTGCACTCCTTTTGAATGATGCAGCAGTGTACTGTGCTGCACAGTAATGCAAAGCGATGCAAATGCTACATATTTTTTTAAGTATGAACAGCAAATGTCTGCTGTCTATATTTATATATTGTAGGCAGCTATGCTAGGCTTTCAAGGAACTGCAGAAATGCACCCCAAACACCCATTCCTATTATGATGTAAATGAGGCCTACTCAGGGCTTTCTTTCAGAAGGAATGCAGTTCTGACACCTCCAGCACTGAATGTATGTAATGGCAAGGGGTGCTGGGGTGTGCTGGAGGGTCTATTGATGCTGGCTGCTGGGGAATATATTGTCTCTGGAGGAGATCTATTTTTGCATGGTGGTTTATGGTTGCTGGTGGGGAATCAATTGTTGCTTGAAGAGATCTACTGTTGAGGGGGGTCTATTGTTGCTGGCTGCTGGAGAGTCTATTGATGCTGGCTGCTGGGAGATCTTCTGTTGCTGTTGAGGGTCCATTGTTTCTGGGATGGTATTTTGTTGCCGAGGTCCATTGTTGCTGGGGAGATTTATTGTTGCTGAGAGGATCAATTGTTTCTGGGGGAAGGAGTCTATTGTTGCTGGCTGCAGGGGATCTATTTTACTGCTTTTCTTGTGATCAGTAACAAATTCCATAGAAAGTACTTAGCACCACAAAATGATACTTGTGGGTAGGAGGTGGGTATGGGTAGGTGGTGGAGTCAAGAAATGATTCAGAAAGGGTGAGTTCATGCACCTATTCTCTGAGAAAAAAAGCCCTAGGCCTACTGTCTTGTGAATGACAAGCTATTGTTTTAAAATCAATAACTATAGCCCGGCATCACTGTAATTTGCAATGGAAGAGTAAGGTATCTTCTGTCCAGGGTCCAAATTTTAAGCACTGTATATTAACCTGGTTCCACAGACATCACGTTATTGACATGATTGTAAACTTTGCACACAGGCAATTGAGCCTGTTCAATGTACAGTACATGCCATTGTCGTCCTCCTGCCAGGGAAGCCCAGATGCAGCATACAGCCTCCTATACTCCTGAATGATGGTACGCTGCTTTACTCAGGTATATGTCACTGGGGCTATCTTTCTATTTTTTGCACACACCCATTTGCTACACTAGCATATCCCTTAGTATAGCAGGTATATCCAGTCTGCGAGGCTGTATGCTGCATCAGGGCTTCCAGGGTGGGGAAAGATGCCCACATTTATATACATTAAACAGCTTCAGTCACCCATGTGCAAGAGATCGTTTAAGGTATTAGAGTACTTGTTTTAAAAGATAAAAAAGGAAAGTTTGTTTAGGCCACTTCAAGAAACTGGTTTTCCTACACACCACTAATATCTACTCTTCAAATGTTTGTTGTGTCCAAAAAGACTCAATAGAAGGCTTCCATAATCATTTACACAAAGCAACCGTTTGTTATACCCCACTGAACACATAAACTTCACTTTTCCCAAAACTGAAATGTGCTTATTGCAGTTTTGTGTCCTCCACGATGGTAATACAGGCGACATCTTGTTGTGGAGGCCCTCAGAATACCTTGAGTAAAAAACAGAATTCACATTAAACTGACAAATGCTCTTTCAGCTTTATCTCAGGTTAATGAGAAACTTTTCAATTCCAGTACAAACAGAGCATGTTTCTTGAAAAACACCAGCCATAGAGCTCCAGGGTCACAAATACTTCGAATGTGTTATAGGTTACATTTTTGCTGTCCATAGAATTTAGTTAATTTCTTTGATTTCATGTCAAACCTGACAGATGAAATCTTATGCTTGGCAACTATGGTCAACAACAACTTTTTAAACATCTGTTCTTGCATAATGAGGAAGTTTCCCAACGTGGCCTTTTAGGTGAAAGGCAGAATTTTGTTTGACTTGTTTTCTTCTCTTTATTTATTGTTTAGTTGATTTGTCATCAATGTGTATGATGTTTTAGCTACAACAGTATACTAACTTTAGTAAATCCAAAACTAGGCACTCACGGGTCTTGAAGAGGCGGAAGATCAAAAACAGCAGTATTTTTATTGTCAACATTTTGATGAAGCTCAGTCCATCTTTCTCAGCTTTATTAAAGTATGTACACTGTATAAAAGCCAGTGTTTACTGTACATGGTATGGCGCATGTTATCTAATATAAGGAAATGGTTCCTTTATTACAAGCTGTAGAAATATTTACCAATCAATCCAAAAATGTTACTGAAATCTGCTTTATGGACTGGCTTACACCTGAATTGCACAGAAAAGCGGTCCTCGTACCTGTGCAATTTCTGTGCGATTTTCAGTCCATTCATTTGAATGGGCTGAAATCACACTGGATCACACAAAAAGTAGTGCATGTATCAAATTGTGTGGTACTGTAGTACCATGCAATCCGGTGCAGACAGACACACTGGGGTTTATTTACTAAAGCTGGAGAGTCCAAAATCAGACTCCCTTCTGTATAGAAACCAATCAGCTTCTAACCTCAGCTTGTTCAATGAAGCTTTGGCAATGAAACCTGGAAGCTGATTGGTTTCTGTGTAGAAGGGAGTCTGATTTTGGACTCTTCAGCTTTAGTAAATAAACCCCACTACGTTTGTGATCTGCATTTGGAGAGTCTTTAGAATTATATTGACACCCACAGCAGGTCGCACACCCAGTATGTTTTTTAACACAGTGGGGGAAATGTGAATAGAACATGAATTCCCTGCATGTTGTGGTGTGAACAAGCCCTATATGCAATTTTTATTTCCTCTACTAATGTTGTAATGAGATATTTACTACCAGAAGTTACCCTGAACGCAGTGCAAGAACCTTTTTGTGGTGACAACAAATAGTCAGCTTAACACCTTGTGACAGAAGATAAAACAAATCCTAATGCCTGAAGACAATTTTGCAACTTTGCAATGTGCTAGTACAGGGCTTAAAATTTTGAGTCTAGACCTACTAGCCAGGTACAAACCTTACTCTCCACCAGTTGTCCCAGCCAACCTTACCCAGGTCCGCCTCCAACCCCACCCCCGACCCGTCCCCCAACCCCGCCCCCAGCCCTGCCCCCAACCATGCCCCCTTAAAGTTTATGAAATTACATTTTTCTTTAGAATAAAGAGTCCACAATATAAAAAACTGCAATTATAACATAGCTTTATTATGTCAATTTAAACATAACAGCAATAGCTTAATAGCAATAGGATGCAATCAAAATATCAAGTTTTACAGCTTTAAACCTGTAGTAAACATTTTGTATTTTTTTTATCTCCTGCATCTTTAAAAAGAGACTTTAGAAACTAAATTCTCTTTTAAAAGATGTAAGTTTAGTTTAAAGAAGTATAGCATAAGAAAAAGTGCTTATTTTGATGCCAAAAAACATGGAATAATAGTCACTGTAAACATGTTGTATTTTTTATCTCCAGCAGAGACCTTAGGGAAGTGTGGCATTAATAAAAAAGAAAAAAGTGCCTCTTTTGATGGCCAAAAAACATTGCATAAAATAAATAACAATAGTAAACATTTTGCATTTTTTATCTCCAGCATCTTATTAGAAGAGAGCTTAGTGAAGTAGTGCATTAAGAAAAAACAAAAAAATAATTATTTAGATGCCAAAAAAACATGGCATAACAATAGTAAAGATTTTACCAAAGATGTGCTAATAGAGCAGCCATGGTTTGTGTTGTACAGCAGGACCAAGACTTGTGTAATACCCTTTTTCTGATGCAAGTCCTCCGCGGCAGTGGAGAGGGTGTCTCCTCTCAGCGGAGGAGAGCAGACCTCTCCTGCACCTGTCCCCTCAGCGGTGCTGCCAGTGTAATGGCGGTGCAGAAGAAGCCGGAAACCGGAAGTTAGAAACCGGAACTCGGCTTCACAATGAGGCTTGGAGCGCCGGTGCAGCCGCTCCATCCATCATCTGTGCTCGTGGCTTGCCACACAAGAATTTCTCCTCGCATTTGGCGAACGGGCGAGTGGCTTTTTCAAGCCCTGTTGCAATAAAGAATGTTTTCATTACTAAAATACCGCATGACTTAATAAAACTCGTGTGGTATTTTAGTAGCTGTGTGGTATATTACCATATACTCAAATGCGGGAAGATACCAATTAGTGAATTGTTCCTGTTTGAAGTTCAAGCATTACATCACCAAGTGCAATGCAAAGCGTCGGATGCAGTAGTGTAAAGCATGCTGGAGCAGTGGAGATGTGTTTTCTGGAGTGACGAACCATGCTTATTATGGTTGTAATCTTGATATATTTGCATATTCTGCATATCTCCATGGAAATCTCATAAATTTTATCCTCAGATCAAATCTCTGGTTTCTCATTCTCTATAAAATAGCTCTTTAGATAAGTTAGATTGTTAGATTGTCAACGCAAAGTCTATAAATTTACTAACTACTGGAACTTCCCAGCTTCACATTATACAAATATTCAAACATTCTCTAGGTGTGACCACCTTTCATCCATGCTTGACATTTAAGCTGTAACTATGCCCTTAAGCAAACTCTATATTTAGGTATTTCACTTATTTCTTGAAAAGTTAGTTCCAGCATTTATTGGCTCAAGCAGCTATGTATAGCATGTTTTTCTGCTGTTGATATGCTACTAGCTTTACCAGTTGTTTCATAGAATGATGTGATATTAAAATAAAGATAAAGCCAACAGTGCAGATGTCTCTATGACCAATTATAATTCTTAGAACAGTTTTAGACTGTATTCCTCCTGTGATAAATACCTATCTTAAAGTGACCCTGTCACCACAAGATCACTTACAAAAAAGAACTCTGTAAAAGAAGTGGCACCATACTTACCTTTCTAGCAGCTCATGTCTTGAAAAGCAGCTGACTCAGTGCTTTCCAGCTGCAGCAGGTATTTGACCAGTCAGATGAATGAAATATGTGCTCCCCTTACCCCGCAATGGTTCCTGCTACAGTGATATATGGGTCATCGGGAAAAAACACTGCATACAGTGGAAGGAGCAGGTATTCACTCACTTGTAAAGCTAATCGAATACAGAATAAAATTTGTCTGGTTCAGCAGGGACCGGTCCAGTTTTAATCAGTGTGTGGCCATCCCTGTTCAACAGAAGTCGCTTGTTGGGTTGCCTGTCAGACAGACATGTTAAAAACTTTTCTCAGTCAGTAGCAGCCGACGATAGGCTGCAGTTCCTATTCAGTGTATTTTGACAGTAGCAGTTCCCTCAGTCAGAATACAATGTCCTGGCAGGGCGGATTCCTCCATCCAACTCGCTTGTGTGGATGGAAAAATCTGTTAGATTTTTTCCTTCAGCCAAAAAACAATGAACCATGTATAGTTACATAGTTAGTCTGGCTGAAAAAAGACAAAAGTCCATCCATTTCAACCATAGAAAAAAAAAGAGTTATAATCCTATACCCACAGTTGATCCAAAGGAAAGCAAAAAAAAAAACCCAGCAGAGCATAATCCAATTTGCTCCTGCAGGGAAAAAAATTCCTTCCTGATCCTCTGATAGGCAATAAGATATTCCCTGGATCAACTTTACATATAAATGTTAGTATCCAGTTATATTCTCTGTATCCAAGAAAGAATCCAGGCCTTTTTTAACCACCTCCCGCCCGCCATATAGTCCAATGACAGACGCAAGGCGGTTCTCTCGTTCTGACGTCCTCCCATTCTCACCGCACATGCGCGGCTCCGGAAGCATGCAGAGCGGCGATCGGTGGTGCGCTGCATCCCTCGGACACAGCGGATCACCGATCCACGGAAAGAGCTGAAGATGTCAGCTCGGTCATGTGATCAGCTGTGTCCAATCACTGCTGATCACATGTAAACAGGGAAATGCTGGTTATTTGCATTTCTCTCCTCACGAGCTGTCACGCTGACAGCTCGTGAGGAGAGGAGAGCCGCTAATCAGCATTCCTCGGAGGGGACATGTACACTGATCATCAGGGCACTGATGATCAGTGTGCCCTGATGATCAGTGTAGCCCCAGTAGTGCCACCTGTCAGTGTCCACAAGAGCCACCTGCCAGTGCTCATCAATGCCACCTGCCAGTGCCCATCAGTGCCACATCAATGCCACATATCAGTGCCTACCAGTGCACATCAATGCCACCTATCAGTGCCCATCTGAGCTGCCTTTCAGTGTCACCCATCAGTGCCAGTCAGTGCCACCTATCAATGCCAATCAGTGGCACCTATCAGTGCTGCCAATCAGTGCCATCTATCAGTGCCCTTCAGTGCTGTCTATCAGTGCCGCCTAACAGTGCCACCTATCAGTGCCAGTCAGTGCCACCTATCAGTGCCAGTCAGTGCCACCTATCAGTGCCATATATCAATTCTGCCTTTCAGTGCCAGTCAGTGATGCCTGTCAATGCCCATCAGTGCCACCTACCTGTGCCTCCTCATCAATGTCCATCAGTGCCACCTATCAGTGTCCATCAGTGCAGCCTATCAGTGCCCATCACTGCAGCCTCATTAGCGCACATCAGTGAAGGAGAAAAATCACTTATTTACAAAATTTTCAGTGGTTTTTGATTTGTTTAAGAAAAAATAAAAAACCCAGAGGTGAATAAATACCACCAAAATAAAGCTCTATCTGTCTCAAAAAAATGCTAACAAGGGGCGTGTCCAAGATGGCGACCGGAGCGGCCGCATAATCCTGAGCTCCGGTGCCGAAGTTTTCAATCCGCTGTCATCCGTGCAGCAGCGGAGATCCCTGGGGACATCTCCTATACCTGGGAGAGGGGCTCCGGGCAATATTTCCGCCCTCCGTGGCGGCGGACATCCGCGGCCTGGTGCGGCCGCGTGGGCCGGGGCTCCGGCGCCTCACATCCACACCCGCTGCCATCCGGGTGGTGGGGGATCGTCCAGGGACATCCGAGGCGCCCTCTGCATCAGCTGGATCTGTGAGAGGGTCGCCGCTAAGTGTTGCCACTCCCCACTGCGGCGGGCAGCTGTGGCCTGTACCATCTGACGGGGCCTTCCTCTCATCCGGTCACAGTGAGTAAGGGGGGACGGGCTGACAGTCCTCAGGTCCCCCCATTGTGATTTGGGGACTGGGTTTCGCGGCTGCGGCCCCAGACGCCATCTACCTCCGTTGCAGCGGCCCCTGTCAGGCTCTGTGGCCTACTGGAGCCCTGATACTGCTCCGAGGGGTGTCTTCTTGGATTTGCCCTGGAGGGCCCTGTACTTGATATTGGAGGCCCTCTGCTCCACGCTCTGCATCCCTCTCAGGCCCTGGGGTGGGACCTGGTACTGTGACCCTGCTCCTGCAAGATATAAAGTGGTTACTGCGGCCTGTGTCCTCTCTGCCTTTTCACGGCCTGCTAAATATTTTTACAATATAACGTCTTCGCGGATGACCCTGACAGCATTCATGTAACTACAACCTTTAATCTATTTTGGGCGTTATAGGTCTCCTGGGGTTATTTTCTCCATTTCTTATCCAATTTTCAGCTGATCACCCCCAGGAGACTCCCTGTATGCCGTCCACCAAGAAAAAAAGGGACAAGCTCAAAAGTCCCTCACGACATACCTACTTAAGGCACAAGAGCTTTGCAGCATGTCTCCAGTCACTACAGAACGAGCATCCCTGTCCGATCCCACGCAGGATACCATAGCTCCTTCCTTAGCCCTCGTCAGTGAAAATACACAGCAACTCACAAAGGGGGATCTGGAGTCTTGTCTGGAATCTATGTACACCAAGTTGGCCACCAAATTCCAATCAGAATTGCATAAAAGCACTAATGTTCTCTCTCAGGAAATAGCCACATTGGGCTCCAGGACCGACCGCTTAGAAACCAAACACGATGAACTTAGCTTAGCCTATGGTGAACTTTCCAGAGAGCATGACCATCTACAAACGGCTTTTTTACAATTGCAGGCGCAGGTCGAGGACCTAGATAATCGCAACCGCAGGAATAATCTGCGAATCAGGGGAATTCCGGAGTCTATGTCTGACCTCTCATTAACCACAACCAGGTTATTCAAGTCACTCCTTCCGGATCGCGACCCTGGGTCTTTTGCCTGTGACCGCATCCATAGAGCCCTGCGCCCTAAACCTCCTAATGACAAGCCGCCTAGGGATATTGTCCTGTGTATGAAGGATTTCCTGACCAAAGAAGACATACTTAGAGCTGCTCGTAATACCCCAACGATCTCCTTCGATGGCTCAGTTCTACAAATCTTTCCAGATGTTTCCCCGGCCACGTTGGAGAAACGTAGAAAAATGAAAGAAGTTACAACTGCCCTGTTCTCAGCTCGTATCCGCTACAAATGGGGCTTCCCTTTTAAGCTGATAGTTCCACATAATGGGAGCACATATATAGCCACATCCCTTCTTGAAGGTAGGGAAATTTTGGCCAAATTAGGCCTGGCGGATGCCCCATCACCTCAACGTCCACCCTCCACCCCTCGTGTTTCTCCCATTTGGCATACTCCATCTCCACGAAGGGATAGAAGGAGAGTCAGACAAGCACCGGGCTGACAGGACCATTTTCACGTGCCTGATACCCATTGTTTTGACGGTCCTTAGTCCTGCCTATTGTATATTATGACTTTAACAGGAACTGGGACACAGGGATTTTGCTCTTTATCTCTTACACTGTCAGGATATGCATTTTTGTGGTTCGCTGCTCTGATATCTTTGTGGTTCTGAGAACTATGTGTGCCTTGTATTAATAGCTGGACGAGTTAAGTTTTACAAGGGTCTGCGGGCCCTCTTAATTACGCCCATTAAACCATGGTCTCACAACTCTTCGACACGTTTCCCCACCCTGCCTCCTGACATGGCCGGAGGTGTTGCCGCCCGATTGAGGGGTGACGGCTCCGTTTTCCATGTTTTACGGAGACAGGGTCTGGGCCCATTTGGCCCGTTAATGTCTGAATTTTTTGTTTTATCAGGTATGGTACATTTCCTGCCTGATCCATGTTCTTTAGTTACCCTCTCAACTGTAGGAGCTATTAAAGCTTCGTTTCTATTGTTTTTTGCTCATTCTCTTCACAAAACTTTAGTGTATGACGTTGGTATTGTGCCGGTCTGTGGACATCACGACCCCCATGTTGGGGTCTGGGGGTCCCCTAGGCTGGTACTGCTGCAGGTAGATCTGTCTGATGTGGACCTGTGGGTCATCATGTCTAGCCAAATAATTTTAGGAGATATCTCTCCAGTGTGTATTTTTACGCTGATAGTGTCAAACTTTGTTTACTATGGTGATTCAATGTATCTCGCATAATGTCCAGGGTTTCAATTCGCCAAATAAGCGCAAAACAGCCTTTCTTCAATATAAGCGTCTAGGAGCTAAAATTATATTATTACAGGAAACACATTTTGCAGCCGCAAAACACCCAACATATTTTCATAAATCCTATAGGCAGGGGTATTATACCCTACATTCCTCCAAGAGTAGGGGAGTAGCCATCTTTCTACATAACTCATTCCCCTTTGAGGTTCAACATGTGTATCGTGATCCGGACAGTAGGTTTATCATTCTTAAAGGCACCCTTTCCGGTCGAGAACTTACGATTGCTAATCTCTATGCACCGAACTCGGCACAATCTTCCTTCTTTTCTAAATTTTTTGGTGCTCTGGATAGGTTTTTATCCCCTCATCTATTGGTGGGTGGTGATTTTAATCTAGTGGCAAACCCTCTTTTGGATCGTAGCTCCTCCTCACACTCTTCCCAAGCTTTCCCAAAATCCCTTACCAAGAAACTAGATGCCCTCCAGTTGGTGGATGCCTGGAGAGCGCACAACATGGGAGCCAGGGATTACACATTTTATTCTCACCCACATGATTCTTATGCCAGATTAGACTATATCTATTGTACCCCGATTTTACTAGCTAATTCTAGGACAGCTTGTATTCACTTGAGCCCCTGGTCGGATCACAATATCTTGGCTTTATCTATCACATTTATAGGATTGGCACCTACTCCCTTCTCTTGGAGACTTAATGACTCTATGCTAACTGATATTGACTCTCGTCAAGAGGTGGTTACATCTATCCGGGAATATTTTCAATCTAATTCAACCCCTGATATATCCTCGGCCACACTATGGGTAGCCCATAAGGCGGTCCTACGAGGCCGACTTATCTCCATGGCTTCATCCAGAAATAGAAAACATTGGCAGCAAATACTACTTCTTACCCGAGAATTAGAAGCACACTATAGAAGTCATGTTGCTAATCCATCTCTCCTCAATAAACAGTTATTGTCCCAAAAACGCTTAGAACTGAATACCCTGCTTTCCCAAAAGACTGAAAAGGCCCTCCGCTGGTCGAAGGCCTCGTTCCTATTACATAGCAACTCAGCATCTACCATGTTTGCAAGGAAATTGAACCACTCTCTGCGCCCCCCACACGTGTATAAACTACGCACTAATTCGGGTACTATCTCATCTCTACCTCAGGAAGTCTTAGGTATTTTTGAAAACTTTTATTCTAATCTACTAGCTTCTCCGCAGTCAAATTCTGTTCCTCCATCAGACTCATGGCTGGATTCTATATCCCTCCCTGCTCTTACACCTTCTCAGATTGCCTCCCTTAATGCCCCCCCTTGCACTTTGGAGGAAATAACTTGTGCGATTAGTGCGCTAAAACGCTCTACTGCACCGGGGTCCAAATGGATTTACCGCTAGTTATTATAAGCATTTTTTGCCCCCACGCTGGCTCCCTATTTGATAACTTTATTCAATGATGTTTTGCAGGGGGGTAGGTTCCCTGAGGAGATGCTATTGGCTAATATGTCCCTAATACCTAAACCGCAGAAAGACCACTGTTTGCCACAAAACTATAGACCAATCTCAGTAATGAATAACGATCTAAAGATATTTAGCCGTATTTTGGCGAACAGGTTGGCCCCTATCATCTCCTCTTTGGTTTCTCCAGACCAGTCGGGTTTTATTCCCGACAGATTTATTACTGATAACATTCGTCTCACTCTAAATGTTATTCAAGATGCTAATTTACATTCCAAAGAGGTTCTGTTGATGAGTTTAGATATAAACAAGGCCTTTGACAGTGTTCTTTGGCCATATTTATTCTCCCTGCTAGGGAAAATGGGCTTTAGTGACGGGTTTTTGGCAGGCGTGCACGCCCTATACGACTCTCCTAAAACAAGAATAAGGCTTCCTGGTTGTAACTCTGACTTTTTTACATTGGGTAGAGGCACCCGCCAGGGTTGTCCTCTTTCACCCCTTCTATTTGCGCTGGTGTTGGAACCTTTGGCATTGGCGATCAGATCACATTCGGATATTTCTGGTTACTCATTATTAGTTTCACATTTTAAGCTGAGCATGTATGCCGATGATGTTATGCTTTTTCTTACTAACCCATTGACTTCATTGCCTAATTTATGTGCTGTATTGAACGATTTTGCCTTAGTGTCAGGTCTCACCGTTAATTTTACCAAATCGGTGATTATGCCGGTTAATGTTCCTGACTCCCTAAGTGCATCTCTCCGTAGCTCTTTCCCATTTCGTTGGGTCAAGGACAGGATCTCCTATCTGGGGATTAATCT